CCTGCAGATCCGCTTCCACCTGGTTTATCTCCTTTTGTTTGTGAATGATGTTTGAGCTTAAATCATCTCCTCTATCAGGGATCTTAGACAGAAGTAGGGGTATCGCCTCAAACGCTTGTAACTGAAGTGCAAATGGAAAACCGTAACAACAACTATTTTGCTGCTTCAATTGTGTCTTCAATTTATCTATCGGATAATTCTTGCTTTGAGCAAGAGGTCCAAACCTCTTCATTGTATTAATGAAGGACTTTCTGCCTCACAGATATGTTAAAAAGTATTTAAAATCATAAAGCATTTTAGACAGAGGCGGACCTAGTAAAGAGGATACTGTGTCATATGACACCCTTTAAACCTTAATAGATGTAATTTTGTATTAGAATAATGTGAAAAATCAGTAGCAAAGTTGGTGAGCATGGCTTTCTGAACCACCGAAACCTAGTTTCAAACCTCCATAAAGACCAAAAATTTTTTTTTTTAGCTAATAATTTCACACCCCTTAAAAAATTGTCTGGGTCCGCCACTGATTTTAGACATAGTCTGGAGTAATTTAGAGGTCCTTGTTATTGCACACAGCCACACTATCCACCAAAAGAATGAGAACCAGGCAAAACCTTTTCCATGGGTTCATCTGCATCTGCTCGTTGGTTGTTTTTTTTTTTTTTGTCTTCTATTAGCATTTCTACAACCTCTATAACAGTCATTTCTTTTTTTACTACCGAATAGCTTGTTCAAAACTGTGATCGAATCTGGATTCTGATGTTCTGACACCTCGTTTTCCCTTGGTATTGTATGACAAAGTAACCCTGTAATAATGTGAAATTCGCGCAAGGAAAACCTCATTAACACGAAAAATAACTCATTTCTCCATTTTGACACTAATTGCCTGCATAGTATGTTATGAATCAACCTCCCCTGAGTGAACTTTCCTGGTGGGTGGATATTTGAAAAGCTTCCCAAATTGCGAGTTCCTCGGCCGCTCTCAATCAGTCGTCCCTTTCAGCATCTATGCGACCAATACTAGGTATTCCGGTCAATAATAAATGGTCAACCTTGATTTCGTCAGGTAGCATCCTTTACCCATTACTCTTTCTGATAGATTATAGTCTGCATCGTCGACGACATGCTTCGAAACGGTTAAATCTGCATAGTAAAGGCTGTGTTAGTTGGAAAAAGCAATTTTTAAAAACAGTCGAGCGAGTTGGAAACACAGTGACACTCTCTGTATGTCGTATTAGAGACCTCATTAAACAGATAAAATTTGACGAAATAAAAAAATAGTCGAAAGTTTGATCTCACCGCTTTGCTACTTCATTCTACTGACTTTTGTCTTGTGCTCTGTGGCTCCATGTGTTGGAACCCAATATTAATAAGCATTTGGACTTGTAATATTGAGTTTGTGTGTGAATAAGAAATGAAGTTTAATAAGCAAATGGACCTTATAAATTCATTTGAGATTTGGGTTTGAGCCTATGGAAATGAAATGTTCCTATTGGCTATAACTAAAAGTGGAAGTTTAGTAGAAGTGTATTTGTCCCACATTGCTCACCAAGGAGAAAAATCTCTTGTATATATATGGCCTTCTCACAATAAGGGTCAGCAGCATTGTGGAAGTAAAAGGGCATTATGCAAAAACACCTACGCGCGCCGCCGCCACCGCCATCGCCGGTGCCGGTGCCGGTGCCGGGCTCGGGCTCGGGCTCGTACTCGTTGCTCGTTGCTCGTTGCTCGTTGCTCGTTGCATTTTTTAGTTGGCTCTTAAGGCTCTTGGGCTCTTGGGCTCTATATAGCTGGGTGTGGGTTGTGGGCTTCGTAGTTCCTGCGATATATTTTTTGCATATTGAAAGGATAAATCTTAAGAAATAAAAGATTGCGTCCAGATAATAACGAAAGATTTCCGAATCCTTTTACTTGCAGAAAAAGGAGAATATTTCGTGAATATTCCTTTTCGCCAAAGCTTATTCCTTGCGGATCAAGCTGAACCTTTCAGTATAAATAGACGCCATCTTCTCTCATTCTAGATCATCGAATTATAATCGAATTCTCGAATACTCCAAACACACAGCAAATAATTCTTTCCAGCAAATCCCTCTCGTCTTAATATCGTAAGTGTCTCGAGAGCTATAGCGTAGTATAATTTCAGTTTGCAGGGTGTTGCGTAATAGTCTCATCACGGTTGTATCCTGGGATTCAAAAATCGTTACAAACCGTCACACATTACGGGCGATTTATTGAGTTAAGGAAAGAGATCATATCTCGACTCCGTGTTTTCGTCTGTTTTCAATGGGTTTTCTAACTCTCGTTTTAATCTCTTACCTTAACATATCGTTTATAATATTGCTATTTTCTAATCGTGATTTCAATCGGATTTTTGCGGTCTTACACCATGTTCATCGTTCTTTCACTGCTAGACACCATTCTCGCAACAAAAGGTTCTTTGATCTATTTGTACACTTGACAATGATTATACTTTTTACCTCCCTCTCTCTATAAAAATAGGTCACAAAACTGAAAAATATGACCAAAAATTTGGGCTACAAATCGTAATAATATGTCTGAATTGTTGAGGTTGAGAAACATAAGCATTTTATATTGGCAACAAACTCGTTTTTTGGGACCAGTAAACAGCATTTTTTTACCATGATATGCTCGTATTGTTGCTAACTTTCTCTGATAGTGAAATTAGATGAAAAAAATTTCTCCGACCAGAAAATTTTCATCTCCTGCGATTCCTTTGTCGCTGTTATCCGCTGTATTCTCAGGTATCCTCAATCTCCTTTTCATCTCCTTGTTCTGATGATTTGAAATTGACCCTTTCTGAGATTTTGATAGAGAGGCGGAAGCTACGTAAACGAAATCACAACAAGAACTCGAAGAATTGCTTGAAACGATCTCGATTTTGTCTCAGTCGAAAGCTCGACTACGACAAAGGATTAAGAGTACTCCTCTTAGTGCTTAAACAAGCTCTTGAATAAATGCTTTAAATGTCAAAAAAAGGTGTCGATCACAAGGCTATTCGACGACCTTAAAAAAAAAGCTAAAGAGATTACGAAAGATCCTAATCCTAAAAGATTTGTGTTTATCTGATCCTAAAAGAAAACAAACTAGAAATAAAAGATGAAGATAATAGTTGAACAAACACGTTTAAAGCCCGCGACGTGTTTGTCATAAAAGCCCATTAATCAACGATGTGCTGCATCAGGTCCCCCCAGGTGAAGAAGGATTCGTCCGCGAATCGACAGGGTCGTTATCACCATAAAATGGAGAAAGATGCTTCACATTAAACACGTCGGAAGTGCGCAGGTGTGCTGGAAGACGAACTCGATAAGCATTTGCGTTGATACGCTCGAGTACCTCCACCGGTCCAACTTTACGCGACTTGAGCTTGTTGTAGTCGCCCACCGAAAAACGATCCTTCGTCAAGACTACCCAAACCAAGTCGCCAGGGTTGTAGATCACCTCACGGCGTTTCGCATCAGCTGCGAGCTTGTACTTAGCAGAAGACTTAACCAAATTTTCACGCGCGGACTGATGAACCTGCTGCAGGCTGTCCACAAAGTCAATAGCTTCACCATGATGACGCGTGCGATCAGGAAGTGTTGACAAGTCCAGCGGGCAGCGAGGAACGACGCCGTACACAACCTGAAAAGGTGAAAAACCAACACTCCGATTAACGGCGTGGTTGTGCGCAAATTCTGCCTGGCACAACTTAGAGTCCCATGACTTGATGTTATCACCAACCAAACAGCGAAGAAGATTGCCCAGCGACCTGTTCGTCACCTCCGTCTGGCCATCCGTCTGAGGGTGATACGCCGAACTCATGTCTAGGCTCGTCCCTAGCAAACGCCACAAGGATCTCCAAAAGTGGCTAAGAAACCGCGTGTCCCTGTCCGATACGATGGAAGTTGGTAATCCATGGAGGCGGTAAACTTCCCGAAAGAACAAAATGGCCACACTCACTGCATCTGTTGTCTTCTTACAAGGTATAAAATGCGCCATCTTCGAGAAACGATCCACAACGACAAAGATTGAGTCACTGCCACGCTGTGTACGAGGAAGCCCCAGAACAAAGTCCATACTAACATCAGTCCAGGGTTGAGTCGGAATGCGAAGAGGCAAATAGAGGCCTGCATTAGACGCCTTGCCCTTTGCCTGCTGACAGATGCGACAGCACTCAACAAATCGCTCAACGTCTCGATGCAGAGACGGCCAAAAATACGACGTCGTGATAAGCTGCAGGGTGCGATCCCTCCCCACATGTCCTTCATTGTGTAATTCACGAATGATTTGTGTACGCAAGCTACACTCAGGAACACACAGCCGTAGGCCCTTAAAAAGAAAACCATCCTGGAGCGTATAATCAGAATTCGGACCATTCGATACTTCTGCAAATATGCGACTGAAAAAGGGGTCAGTCGTATATAGTTCCGCGAGGGAAGACAATCCAACCACCGTCGTATGAATTGTTGAAAGGAGAGAATGCCTGCGACTCAACGCATCCGCGACTCGATTCGTCTTGCCAGATTGATGACGAATAGAGAATGTGAACTGTTGCAGGTAAGAAATCCAGGCAGCATGACGCGCAGAAACCTTTGCATGGCTATCAAGATGGCGAAGTGCATCATGGTCAGTAAATAAAACAAACTCACGGTGAATCAAGTAATGTCTCCAGTGTTTAATTGCTTGGACGATAGCATAGAATTCCACATCGTAAGTGCTGTAGCGTCCTCTTGCGCCTGCTAACTTCTCGCTAAAGAAAGCAACAGGGCGCCCAAGTTGACTCAATACGGCCCCAATGCCAAGTTTCGACGCATCACAATGCAGCTCAAACGTGACAGAGAAGTCTGGCAAAACCAAAATGGGGGCTGAAGTGAGCTTCTCCTTGATTAATTCGAAAGCAGCGGCTGCCTCAGAAGTCCACTCAAATTTCCCTTCTCGCATACAGCTCGTGATCGGAGCCATTATAGAGCTAAAGTGGCTCACGAATCGCCGGTAGAAAGAAGCTAATCCGTGGAAGCTGCGAACCTCCGTGACGGTACGCGCCAGGATTGGACGGCTTCAATCTTAGACATATCTACCGCCAAACCTTTTGCAGACACCACATATCCCAGAAAAAGCACTTCGGGAACACCAAATTCGCACTTCTGCTTTGCCGCGAAAAATGTTTCTTTGCGAAGAACAAGCAAAACATCACGAATATGTCGTACATGATCGTCCATAGAAGCGCTGAAGATAAGGATATCATCGAAGTAGACCACCACACATTTGCCTATGAAGGGACGCAAGGCTTGATTCATGATACGCATAAACGTACTGGGTGCATTTGATAACCCAAATGGCATGACTAGCCACTCAAATAAACCCTCTCGCGTCTTGAAAGCCGTCTTCCATTTGTCACCTGGGCGAATTCGAATTTGATGGTAGCCACTCTTCAAATCGATCTTTGAAAAGACAGTTGCTGATCCAATCTGATCGAGTAAGTCATCCAAGCGTGGAATAGGAAATCGATAACGCACCGTAATCTTATTGATCGCACGACTATCTACACACATACGCCAAGTGCCATCCTTTTTTGGGATCAACAACGCTGGTACCGCACAGGGGCTAAGACTCTCACGAATATGGCCTTTGCGAAGCAAATCTTCCACTTGACGACGAAGTTCCTCGTGTTCGTGAGGACTCATCCTGTAGTGTGGACGATTGGGAAGCGTCGCACCAGGCACCAGATCAATAGTGTGCTGAATGTCGCGAAGTGGTGGAAGCTGTGTAGGGAGTTCGTCAGGAAAGACGTCCACAAACTCTGCTAAAACAGCATCAAGTGCCGATGTAGAGCGAGAAGAAAGGACTCGCGTAGGGGACGAAGGCAGAAGTGCATACGCGATGCCTCCCTACGCAACTCAGCTGTAAAATCAGAGTATGAACATAAGAGTGTTGTTATCGATGGTGCCGGTGTGCGACGCGAGTTCGGCTCAGAGACGATCGGAGATGGCGGGGCAGGTAACGAAGCTTCACGTGAAGGGACTAAAAGGATCTGATGTGTTTCCCATATGAAGCTGTAGGTATTACGCGCTCCGTCATGGATAATCTTCCTGTCGAATTCCCACGGACGACCCAACAAGAGGTGGCAGACGTCCATAGGAGCAACATCGCAGTACGTACGATCGCGATAATGTGGCCCAATAGAAAATGCCACGAGTGCACGTTCTGTGATACGGACGCTAACTCCCTCGTACAGCCACCCAAGAGTATAAGGAGCAGGGTGGGCTTCCTTGGGAATCTCCAATTTGTCAGCCGCAAAAGCAGATATCACGTTGCGGCAGCTGCCCGAATCGACGATAAAAGTGCAGACACGTCCTTTAATCGTACACGTCGATCAAAAAATGTTAGTTCGCAACCACTGTTCGTCTTGTCGTCGAGGTGTGACACAATTGCGATGAAACACCAAAAGTCGTCCTGTGTCACCGTGTGTCGGAACAATCTCAGAGTCCTCAAGGTCATCGTCCTCTGCTTTTGAGTCATAAGCCGCGGCCAAATCAATTGTAGTATCTCCGACGACAAGACCACGACGCGTCTGGTGGGGACAGGCTGTCTGGCGATGCCCCTGTTCGCCACAAGAATAGCATCTTAGTGCGTTGGGCTGGCTAGAACGGCGTAAAGCTTGGTCTTCCGGAGGCGCTGTGACGCGCGACGACTGCACAACATTATCACCAACGTCCTTATGCGTTGCAGAAGAAGCAACACTCGCAGGATCCTGTGTTCTGTTTCGAACAGACCCAGAGGTCCAACCTGACGATCTCAGCTGCTGTTCAAAGGATGAAGCTCGTCGGAAGGCTTCACTGATCGTCGTAGGATCGAACTGTGCCATCGCCGTTTGAAGCTGGGGGCGCAAACCTCCAATGAAACGAGATACCAGCTGAGGCTTTGAATCACGAAGCTCGTTGCGAGTGAGCAAGACGGAGAATTCCTCCGCGTAATCCTCCACGCTACGACTCCCTTGCCGCAGATTCTGTAAGCGTGTATACATCTGGCGGTCATAATTGTGCGGAAGAAAGGCCTTGCGCAAGTGTTTTTTTAATTTCTCCCAGGACTGTATCAGCTCTTTCCCTGTGCATGTTCTTGTCGACTTCACTTGCTTCCACCAAGACGCGGCATGACCTCGAAATCTCATCGCCACAAGAGGAACACGTCTGTCCTCGGGAACTCGTTTGAAGTCGAGTATCTCCTCCACCGAAACGATCCAGTCAAGGAGTTCATCACCTCGAATTCCTCCTAGGAATTCCGGAATATCAACATGAAAACCGGACTCCCACCTGTTGTCGCCGCCTTCACCATGGTAATTATCACGACGAACTCGCCTGGGATACTCATCGTCCTCCACGTCATCATTATCATCGCGATTTGCAAAGGGGTTGTTCATACGCTCCTCACCCTGTGCACGACCTGGCATACGAGCGTCCAAACGCGTCAATAGTGTCTCGCCCATATCCTGAATAGACGCGTGAATCGTCGCCTGAATGTTCTCCTGCATCGCCAGGAGAGTAGCACGAAGCTCGGTCCAATCACTTGTCGAATTAGTGTTGTGACCGGTGTTGTTGATGTTCTTCTTCGGAGGCATTGTCTCAACGTCAACAACCTTCAGGAACGTACCGATTCTGATACCAACTGATAGAGAGGCGGAAGCTACGTAAACGAAATCACAACAAGAACTCGAAGAATTGCTTGAAACGATCTCGATTTTGTCTCAGTCGAAAGCTCGACTACGACAAAGGATTAAGAGTACTCCTCTTAGTGCTTAAACAAGCTCTTGAATAAATGCTTTAAATGTCAAAAAAAGGTGTCGATCACAAGGCTATTCGACGACCTTAAATAATAAGCTAAAGAGATTACGAAAGATCCTAATCCTAAAAGATTTGTGTTTATCTGATCCTAAAAGAAAACAAACTAGAAATAAAAGATGAAGATAATAGTTGAACAAACACGTTTAAAGCCCGCGACGTGTTTGTCATAAAAGCCCATTAATCAACGATGTGCTGCATCAGATTTCCAGTCCACCAAAATTCTAAAATTTTTTTTGACTTTTCCTCTTTATCAGCTTCTCCGACGAACTGCTTCATCTTCTCCGCTTTTTGGGATGACATCAGGTAACCCTCCGAACCTGCATCATCTCCTCCTTGCTCTGTCTCTGTATCAACTGATATTTCCGAGACACTGTGAAATCCGAACTTGATTTTATACTTCGTAGCTTCTCCACAAAACTTGATTCATCTTTATCGACCTGTTGATTCATCTCATGTGCACTGAGCTTTAAATCAATCTCTTCTTGAATCGTTTGCAGCTACTCCACCTGAAACTAACCCTAGTCTCAATTTCATCTTCTTTGCAGCTTCTCCCAGTGAACAACCAATGTTCTTCAGCTACTTAGATGACCTCAGGTAAATCCCTTAACCTGAACCTTGTACTCTCGACTTGCTTCCCAGATTCATGAAAACAGAGCTAACTTGTCTTCCCTTGAATCTCCTAACAGCTCCACCTGGAATCAAAGTGTCCTCACCGTAATTTTAGCCGCCTCCAGGTAACTCCTTTAACCCATTAATCAAATATGATTTTACTTTATCGACATAAAAACATTTCCAAAACCAACTGATAGACCTCTTAATGTGTATAAAAGAAGGAAATGAACAGAAGGAAGGAAGAGAACAGAGGAGTGAAGACGGTTAAGCGTGTGAAGAAAACGCGTGAGAGAAGCAGTTGGAAGACAGTTAGTATAAATACTAGAATTGTTGAGAAATACGTATTCAGTTTTTGTTATTGTGGAAGTAGCGTATGAGCTTACTATTCCTGTATGCGTTTTACATACGTCATGAGTTTGTAAATACGATACGGTGAAGCTTTGTATCTCTCTCTTCTACAATTCAGTATACAGAAATTACATTAAAGATTTTATCAAATGGTGCGTCGTGACGAGATCGAATCAGCTCAGAAAGGAGATATGCCGTCGGAAGTATTCAGCGACGAAGGAGATGGAGGATTATCGGCGATGCGCGATGAATTAGAGTTCTTACAAGGAGGTTTCACTCGGCTTTGCGAATCGAAGACTCAAACAGAAAATCGCATGGCAGAGATGAACAAGAAACTCAATTCGATACTAATGGCGATTCAACAACAATCAAAGCTACCACCGCGAGCCGACGGAGGTGTCCGACCGATCGAAATCCCTAATTCCTCACAAAATCACAATCAGGAACCAAATTCATTCACTGGAACGAATCGGAGTGAAATACCATTAGGTTATCGGTCAGGTCATACAGATTTAGCAAATAGAGAGAGCATGATTAAGAAAATCGAGATGCCAATATTCGATGGTTGTGCTCCATATGTGTGGATTGCGGAAGTCGAGAATTTCTTCGATATTGGCCGTTACGATGATGAAGCGAAGCTCGATTTAGTTGCTCTCTCACTAGCTGGTAAAGTCAAGAAATGGTTTGTTTGGGTAAAGAAACGCCATGGTTTCCGAGATTGGAGGGACTTTAAAGCGAAGTTGTTGGTACGATTTGTTGAATCACTAGAGGAAGAACCGGGAAAGCGTTTGTACTCGATCAAACAAACGGGATCCATTGGAGACTATGTATCCGAGTTTGAGGATCTGTCGTCACAAGTCACAGGAGTAGATGATAAAGGCTTGGAAGACATCTTTTACAATGGTTTAACACTGGAAATGAAAGAAGTTATCAAGATGAAGGAACCGAAAGGGCTAGCTAATCATATTGCAATGGAGAGTAGTGCTTTTTGCAAGTTAGTTGGTGATGGTTCTCGGAGAGAGTATGGATCAAAGAACAATACTCGTATCAATAGCTTTTACAACAATCAACGGACTCAGTATACAACACCATTCAAACCGAAAGTGCTGACTATTGAGTCTACGGATTCAAAAGAAAATCAAACGCAAGGACGAACCAATATAAGACCTCGCCAAAAATTCACTGACGCAGAACTCGATGTGAAACGAAGTCAGGGATTATGTTTCAAGTGTGATGCCAAGTGGTTCAGAGGCCACGATAAAGTTTGTCCGAAACAAGAGCTACGAGTGTTGACAGTACTCAATGGATTTGAAGTGGAAGTCTTGGATGAGAACATGTTTGAATTCATTGAAGAAGAAACTGAACAGATGGGTGAGTTGAGACATCTATCATTGAACGCATTTCTGACAATTGATACACCAAAGACCACAAAGATTCACGGGACTATCGGGAAGACACAGGTGGTGGTCATGCTCGATAGTGGGGCTTCCCACAATTTTATATCGTCAGCAACGGTGCAGAAAACTCTGTTACAGTTATCAACAGAAAAGGAGTTAGAAGTGTTACTGGGTAATGGATTACAGATCAAAGGAAATGGAGCATGTAAAGACATATCTTTCTTGTTGTCAGGATTCAGATTCACGACAGATTTCATAGCATTGGAGTTAGGAAATGTGGATATGATATTGGGAGTGCAGTGGCTAGAAACCCTTGGTAAATGTCAGGTGGATTGGAAACGACAAGAATTCTCTTTTAAATACCAAGGACAGTGGATTACCTTGTATGGTGACACAAGTTTGCACACAAAAAGGTTATCTCTGAAGACACTTGCACCGAATCCAGTGATAACATCAAAAGGCGTCTGTCTGGAGTTTGAAAAGAACATCCCAAAAGAAGAGTCCACAGAAAAGATTCCCGAGCTGATTGTAACCTTATTACAAGAGTTTGAGGAAGTATTTGATCTTCCATCGGGATTACCTCGAAGTCGAGACCGCGAACATGGTATTACATTGCAGCCTGGACAAGGTCCGGTGAATGTGAGACCATACCGCTATCCCCAGATGCATAAAGAGGTTATGGAAAAAATGGTAGCAGAAATGTGTTGGATGCAGGAACGATCAGGAAAAGTGTTAGTCCTTTTTCAAGCCAAGTTCTTTTAGTCAAGAAGAAAGACACAAGTTGGAGGTTTTGTGTAGACTACATGGCTTAGAATCGAGCAACAATTCCTGACAAGTTTCCCATACCAATGATTGACGAGCTACTAGATGAACTTCATGGAGCTGTAATATTTTCGAAATTGGATCTGAGATCAGGCTACCAACAAATACGAATGAAGGAGAGTGACATCGAAAAGACAGCTTTTAGAACACACGATGGCCACTATGAATTCTTAGTGATGCCATTTGGCCTCACAAATGCGCCTGCAACATTTCAATCTTTAATGAATGATTTGTTCAGAGCATTCCTTCGGAAATTTGTTCTAGTGTTCTTCGATGATATATTGGTATATAGCCGAAGTGTGGAGGATCACGAAGCTCATCTGAGGGTTGTACCTGAAAATTTTTGCTGAACAACAACTATATGCAAACAAGAAGAAGTGCTTATTTGCTAGAAACGAAGTGGACTATTTGGGCCATATAATCTCAAAGGAAGGCGTGGCAACTGATCCAAAAAAGACTGAAGCAATGACAAAATGGCCTACTCCCAAAACAGTGAAGGAATTATGCGGATTTCTAGGACTCATAGGGTATTATAGGAGTTTTGTGAAAGGATACAGCACGTTGGCTCGACCTTTAACATAGCTATTAAAAAAGGACAAGTTTCAATGGTCGTGTGAGACTCAACTTGCTTTTGATACATTAAAGAAAGCGATGACGTCTGCACCAGTTTTGACTTTGCCACTTTCGTGGTGGAGACTGATGCATCTGGTTTTGGGTTAGGAGCATTACTAATGCAAAGATAGAGACCAATAGCGTTTTTCAGTTGTGGGTTGACTGCTCGCGAACAGTTGAAATCAGTGTATGAACAGGAGCTAATGGCAATTGTTCTATCTATTCAGAAATGAAAACATTATCTAATAGGCCGGAAGTTCGTGGTTCATACCGATCAGAAAAGCCTTAAGTTTCTTTTGGAACAAAGAGAAGTGACGATGGAACATCAAAAGTGGCTTACTCGACTGTTGGGTTATGATTTCGAGATAGTATACAAGCCGGGCATCGAAAACAAGGCGGCGGATGGACTATCTCGGAGTTTACAAGCACCTTTGGAAAACGTTACCACATCCTTATTGGCCATGACAGTACCTTCTGTGGTCCAATTACAGGACATATTCAAGGAAATTGAGGAGGACCCGGAGATTCAAATACTGATCAACCGAGTAAATAATGCTGAAACAGTCAAACCGGGTTATGTCGTCAAAGATGGTAAACTGTGGTATAAAAGGAGATTGGTATTACCAGCAACATCTGCATATATTCCCTTGATTCTCGCAGAGTTACATGAAGGTGTGGTAGGAGGACATTCGGGTATACTAAAAACACTAAAGAGAGTTCAACAGTCTTTTCACTGGAGTGGGATGCGTGAAACCATACAAAAATTTGTCTCTGAGTGTAAAATCTGTCAGACTCATAAATATTCTACCCTCAGTCCAGCAGGTCTTCTCCAGCCTTTACCAATTCCACAGGCTATTTGGGAAGATATCAGTTTAGACTTCATCGAAGGTCTTCCAAGTTCAATGGGATTCAATGCTATATTAGTTGTGGTGGATCGCTTGAGCAAATTTGGCCATTTTATTGGATTAAAGCATCCTTTCACTGTAACTCAGGTGGTGAACAAGTTCATTAAAAAAATTGTTCGCTTACATGGGTTTTCCAAGACCATTGTCTCTGACAGAGATCGGATTTTTCTCAGTCATTTCTGGAAAAAATGTTTTAACCAAGCTAGAACAAAGTTGAAGTATAGTACAGCGTTCCATCCTCAAACTGACGGACAAACAGAGATTTTAAACCGATGTTTAGAGACTTATCTCCGTTGTCTAGCATCAGCTCATCAAAGGAAATGGGCAAAAATTTTTTCATGGGCAGAATTGTGGTATAATACAAACTATCACACAGCCCTGAAAAATACTCCATTCTCAGTGGTTTATGGGAGAGAACCACCAACTCTTGTGAGGTTTGAAGAAGGTTCAACAGCTAATTTTGAGCTAGGGGAAATGCTGAAAGAAAGAGATTCGATGTTGGAACATATTCGGCTTCATCTGTTGAGAGCTCAAGAGTTGATGCGGAGTCAAGCTGATAAACATCGACGAGAGGTGAATTTTGAAGTGGGAAGTATGGTGTTTCTTAAACTCCGACCGTATAGACAAAAGTCAGTGGCTCGTCGAATTTGTCAAAAGCTTGCTGCCCGTTTTTATGGACCCTTTGAGGTGTTAGAGAGAATTGGGAAGGTCGCTTATCGCTTGAAGTTACCATCCGATTCAAGGATTCATCCGGTTTTCCATGTTTCACATTTGAAAGAAGCCTTGGGTTCAAATCACGACGTTCTACCATTGCCAGCGGTTTTATCTGATGTTGATGAAATCGTAGTAGCACCCAGCGAATTATTAGACATGCGTCATAATGAAGAAGGGTGTTTGGAAGTGTTGCTATCTTGGACAAATCTTCCATTGCATGAGTCTAGCTGGGTATTAGCTCGGGAGTGAAGACGGTTAAGCGTGTGAAGAAAACGCGTGAGAGAAGCAGTTGGAAGACAATTAGTATAAATACTAGAATTGTTGAGAAATACGTATTCAGTTTTTGTTATTGTGGAAGTAGCGTTTGAGCTTACTATTCCTGTATGCGTTTTACATACGTCATGAGTTTGTAAATACGATACGGTGAAGCTTTGTATCTCTCTCTTCTACGATTCAATATACAGAAATTACATCAAAGATCTTATCACCAACCCGTTTTTATGTTCTTCTTCCTGCGAGAGTAGCATGTCGATAATGGAGTTACCTGAAGCTGCACCACACTTCAAACTAGGTTGAGAAGATCGCAGCAAACCTGAGCTTTTTGTCCAGGTACTGTTTCAGTTACAAAATTTATTGAACTTTTACCCTTGTGAACCGTAGATAAAACTACATCCCCTTTAGCTCTTATCTCCAAAGAAACCCATTCCCAATATCTTAGAAACTTTTCCCAAATTTTTCACCTCAAGTTCTTTGTTCAAACTCTCTTCTTCTCCAACACTTTTCTGATGCATCCGCTTCTTACTTTCAAAAATATCATCGAGTGTTGATTCTATCTCAGATTCTTCCTTGCTCTCCTTAGACTCAATTACTTCGTAACTCTCAGATTTTTCTGATGAAGAAGAGTCTCCACCTTGAGCTGATGAATCCCTTGTCTCAAAACCATAAGGAGTTGCTCCTTGAATCAGATTCTCACTGAATGTCACCTTCTTTACCTTCTTCTTTTTCACTTCTACCTCAGCTTTTGGCATGTTCACGTCAACTTTAGAAACTGTGCCTTGAAGATAATACAAACCACCTTGGTATTTTCCAGATATTACCTTCTTCTTTCCTTTGTAGAACTGAACCTTGAAGTTACCTCTTTCATACCTGCAACCAGATTTCTCTAACATTCCATAAGAAATAAGATTCCTACTCACCTCTGGTATATATTTCACATCCTTGAGTATCACTACAGAACCATCTGGATTCTAAATCCGAATCTTCCCCATTCCTTTGATGTTACAATGAGTGTTATTAGCCATCAAAACTCTACCACCATCAAACTCCTTGAAATCAAACAAGACTTCTTTGTCTGGTGTACTATGGTATGAACAGCCTGAATCCATAATCCATTCTTTCTTTCTATCTTGAGTGCTGACACTTAACACCATTGGTTCCTTTGAATCTGTTGCAACATTTGCAGAATCTGCAGGTTTCTTTCTATGAGGACATTCCCGCTTCCAATGTCCTTCATCTCCACAGATAAAACAACCTTTGTTGTTTTTCTTTCCTCTACTCTTAGACCTTCCTCTTCCATTCTCTGATCTCTTTTCTGATCTGGCTCTAGCCTCAACATATAACCCTTCTCCATCTGATCTTGAAAGCCTTTCATTTTCAGACAGTTCTCTCTCCTTAGATTTTGCAGCACTAGCTACTTCCTCCAACTGAATAGCTTCCCTACTATACTTAAAAGTATCCTTTAAAGAATCATACCTAGAGGGAAGAGAGTTGAGTAGCAGTATTGCTTGAACCTCTTCTGGTATCTCAATGTTGAGGTTGCTCAAATCTGCAATCAGCTTCAAGAAGTCATCTACATTCTGATCAATTGATCTTGAATCCTGCATTCTAAAAGAATACACTTTAAGCTGAGCATGGACCCGATTAGGCAAAGTCTTTGCCATGTAAAGCCTCTCAAGAGTAGCCCACGCTTGAGCTGCGGTTTCACACTTGTCTAGTTTCCTTAAGACATGATCTCCAACGCACATGAAGATAAGATTCAAAGCCTTTTCATCTCGCTCCAGCCTTGAAGCATCATTTTTGCTCTTTTCCTTCATTGCTTCTGGTTCTTTTACATCCACTTCTTTGGATGTCGGTTCCGAAAGAACATCTTTCAAACCTTGAACGGTTAAGTATGCGAGCATCCTTTTCTTCCAGATCACAAAATCACCTGATCCGTCAAACATGCTCACCTCCATCTTTTGTGTCGTCATCACTGAGTCTCTAATCCAAATCTTTCTAGCACTCAAACCTGGATTGCTCTGATACCACTTGTAAGGGTTTTTAACTTCTCCTGAGTGCTTAGATCTTAGATCTATTAGATGAATTAGAAACTTAAATGACACACACGTTTGATCACCCAGTTCACGGCCTTAAACTGCTACGTCTGGGGTGGGAACCGTCTCCCACAACCTCCACTATCAATCAAGAATACACAAACGCACTAACCGGCGCTCTCTTTGTGTTCAAGTACAAGTCACAGATTAGAACAATAGAAGAGAAGTAACTTTGAATCACAGCACACGACAAAGAAGACTCGAACTTCCTTCGTTGCTCTCTTGGATTCCCTTTTTCTCTTCTCTCTCCTTCTATTTCTCTTGCTTGTACTACGTCTCTTTTTCTCTCTCTCGTATTAGGGTTCTGTTTAAAGTCTTTCCTTTTATAATAGCTTGGACAAACGATCACCAATTCCTCCTTAATGCTGATTTTTTCTCTTTTGCAGAAGTGGGCTTGTACACAGCTTTGGCCCATCTACAATAAACAACAAACATAGGATTTGGGCCAGATACTAAATGACTGAGACCCATCAACTAACAATAGTGTAATTACAAAAGTGTTGAACACTTTATTTGGAAGTGTACACTGTGTAGTCGCTAGTACATTACATTTGTGTACACTATATTTGACAGTTCTTATTCTCTAATAGATTCTTGTATTGGGCAGTTGAAGGTTGAGTACACACAGTTGGGTGAAGTAGGCGTCGGCAACATGGATTTTGATTGGGATGAGGAAACTGTAGAAGTTGGTGCTGAAAGAACATGAGTTTAAGGAATCTGAATGGCCAGGAGGAAACACTTATCTCCCTTGTGTTTAAGTTGAAGTTGGAAGAAAAGTGGAACTTGTGGAAAATGAAGGCGTGCTTGACATCACTAAAGAGCATCAAAAGAAAAGGAGGGGCAGGAAAGCTGGAAAAGCTGCTGGGGGAGATAAGAATAAGGGGGAGATGCAAGGTGCAACTCCTATTAGTTTTGTCGAAACGACAGTGCCAAAAGCTGTAGAGGATCTCTTGGCCAGCAATGTTGAAAGTAAGACTTCTGAAATGTTGTTGTTGCAGAATGAGTTGAAAGAACTTGAATTTAGAGAAGGGAAAGAGGTATTGACAAACTTTTACTATACAATCTTCGGAGGATCTGGAAATGATCATTGACAGAATCGAACAATGATATGTTTCTGTAACAAATATGAATGAAGAAAGCTCAAAATCTAACCTAATACTTTCGATTGTTATTAATGGTCAAATCTATTGCAAAGGACTAGGTGACAAAATTCACTAAGCTTTTTTCTTTATTTGGCTAGGTAATTTTTTCACGGAGTTGAAGTAACATTTTGGGCTTTCAAGGAAATTAGGGTTAATGGAGTTTAATCTTCATGTCTTGTTCACCGTATCTAACATAGTAGTTAATATTAATCTTATCTAAAAAAAAAAAGTTGAACTCATTATTGCTCAAAGCATAAGTCAGTGTTTAACATTAGTGTGGATCCATATTATTGAACAATAAACAAAAATTTCAGGATTTTTCATATGCATGATTTGTCCTATGCATGATGTAAATTTTCTTGATCCAATTGCTCTAAACTATTATGGTACTTATGTTTGTGTTTTAGGTTTTTTTTTCACCTGGTATGGAAACCCTAATTAGAATTTAATAGGAAAAGTGGTAGGAAAATGGTTTATATATATATATAAAAAGACAATACAATAAAATTAGTGTTTTATAAGTTTTTTAACATTTTTTTTCTTTTTTTTTTCTAGCGTCGCATTTTCTTTTAACACACGCTACATCGTTCAATTACCTGTTCAAATCAAAGTAACACCTAATTCAATTCCTTTTATTCTTCCAGCGAAATTAATCCAAAAACTTTTGAGGATTAAATCAAAGATTATAAATCTTCTTTAATTCAAAAACTTTTGAAGCCAAGAACAAGCAAAATAAATTTCTGGATCCAATTCAGATTCAACCGATGAGAGATCAGAGACACATCACAGATCACAAGAATTCAGGAACTAAAGAAGAAGTAGTGAAAACGCAAATCGGAATCACTTGAAGAAAAAGTGAGAGAGAGCGAAGATCTCAAAAATAATTTTGGTGTGGGTCAACTTTAAAGTCAGGTCATTCGTACTTTGGGCCCAAAATGAACTTGTAACCAGCAAAGCTGATGATAGCGATCAATGATAAATCTAAAGAGGAGATGTATTCGATAAAGAATATAATTAAAAGAGGAATAAGCAAAGATTGTTTCATTAAAACCAGACAGTATATATATCACTAGCGCAAAAAAAAAAAAAGATTTGCGTATGATTGTGTGGGATTGTTGCGTATGATTGTGCATTTGTAACTCTTCATAGATTAGAGTGGATCATCAATTTTTTGTTTACAATAATCTAGTTTGTCGTTGGACTCAGTTTCATCTTTGAATAAAATCGACAAAACATGTACAGTAATAAGAAATATAAACCAAAGATTGATCTACTTCATAAGAAAGAGTATAATTAATTATAATAAATAAATAAACTACATCTTGTTAAACCAACTAAAAAAAACACTGATAATTAGTGCAGATAACCTGCTTATTCTAAACTCATCATAAAATAAAAACATAAAATTACCGATACATATGATAATAGAAAGAGAAATAGCTAGTTACGCATTACTCTGAGTCAAACCAGGATGGGTGAGATCCATAGCAATAAAATACATAAAGCAAGACGACTATGACCGAAAAAATGATAACGCCTATTACGACGCCTATGATTATTGCGGTGCCAAGCTCCATATTGTCTTCACCGCACACACCAAAATTTTGTTCTTTCTTACTTTTTTTTTTTATTGTGGGTTCTCGTGTTAAGATTTTAATATATTTATAGTACGCATGTATCGTGAACATAAAGTTAAAAGTTTGCATTAATGTATACAATTTGGTGAAATTTGTAAGTTTTACTTTTTGTCATAAGGAACATTAACAAATAAAATTTAAAAAACAAATAAAATTTAGAAGTTTTACTTAAAAGAGCACGATATGTATGAAAAATGGATACGTTTAATGATACTATTACTATGTTTGTTGAGATTTATGCTCTGTTTAACACTAAAGTAGAAACCTTTTAGTGTCTTGAACTCTCTCTCTCTCACTCGGAAAAACAAGTTCACTCGTGTGTATGAAGAAGTATGAAAACGGATGCAGAAAAGAAAATGGCACAGGCAATTTAAGGAGTTCACGCCCAATGTGGGTCGCTACGTCTCCCCGGAGAGGTTCTCCGGATGAATCCACTAAATCCTTTAGCTCTACACCGAGCTTTCTACAACCATATTCTCTCTGCAACTTTACACAAGCTCTCTATCACACTCTTACAGAGACATTCCCTCTTCACCTTATTTATATCCTCAAAGAGATTATTCTAGATACAAAACTTTGTCTCTTTGCAATCCTTGTGCACAGATACGAAGGCGCTGCTGCAGGCTCTGCTCCTCCGGTATCAGAAAGCACGCTTGTGTTCCCTCTGCTTGCTTGAGTTCGTACGAGTTAGGTGGGAAGTCTTTTTCTTGCCTCGAAATCAGAGAATGGACTCTGCTTCTTCCTTTTGATTTCAAGACCGTTAGAAGACTCTTTCTCAGACTGAGGCTTTTGCTGTTGGAGAAGACTCTTTCTCGTTCCAAATCTTTGACCACAGCTCTTCTTCGTTGACCTTGATACACCTGCAAGTATTCAGACTAACTCCCACAAAACTCCACCTTGGTTTGAATACTTAACCTTAGCTTAGGTTCCTGATTTAGTTTCCTTTGGATTCTTCCCCTCTCCGGATTCTTTCACTCTTCTTAGTGACTTGATATTCTGAGCAGCTCCAACGCCTTTT